TAGGTTAACAGAGCAACCTTATATTGAAAGTGGTGATTTGATTTTTTTAGTCTAGAAATCGATTCACTACTCTATACTGGACTAGTTGCATACTAGAGGGAATCATACCTGGATGACCTTTGACATACTTGAAAAATCAGAACATTTCTTGCTTTCTGATTACTTTGCGATTGAACAACTCACTACACTTAGTTTGCTATATAATAGAAGTTTGCGGAGTAGGCAATGACCTAGACCGCGGATTGATAAATTAAACTTCACCATTATTCTGCATTTTCATTCTACGATTATACTTGGTCGTAATTTGGTGTTGTATTTTAGCGAGTCAACCCCTAATGTTCCAAGCAAGTACACTCATCTGATGTAGCGGTGGGCAGCTTTAGCTGCACTAATTGGGGTTTTCCTACCACCTCCTCTTTGTGTCTTCCTAGAATTTCCATTGTACTTCACAAATCCATATGCTGCCTCATGTTGATCAAACAACTCAAAATAATTACTATATGTACTACTGGTGTGGATTTCCTCATCACTCCAACAAGATTATCAGAGATCCCATTAACAACTCTATCAAATTCCTCTATAGGAGTTAGTTTGAAAAGAGTAGTCAGCACAATGGAGGGCTCACCTACTTCACAAATTATGGAGACACTACCTCCAACCGTGGGTTCTAGCTGAGGATCCACTTAACTTACTACAACTGCTTTCCCCTTACTTATTTTGAAACTGGCCGCAGTCTCCACCACCTTGTCTACAGTCAAGTTCCTCCTTTCCTCAACCCCAGGATTCTTAACAACCCACTGCCTCGTCCCCACTTCCTGCAACTCACAATTATGCCCAAACAGACAATATTTGTGGCACAACATTGCAATATTGAACTCCTATCTTTAGTTCTCCTATCCCATCTGGATCAACCCTAACAACCTCAGGGAACTTCCTTCTAGCGTCCATTTCCATACAGACTTTTGCAAACTAAGCCTTTTGCCCTATCTAGTAGCTTGACCCAAACAGATTGGTTTTCCCAATAGACTAGAGACTGTACTCAGTTCTGCTTTGATAATGAGTTCAACAGGTATATTCAGGATTTTTACCCATACTGGAAGGCGTGAATTGTCCATGTCCATCAGTTGAATATCTGGTTTGCACTTCCTTAGGAATAGGAGACAGTGCTTATAGTGCCAAGGTTCGCCTTCGAAGGCCCATGTACAAATGACTTCTTAAGAAAATTGAAATACAATTAGCGACGATGGCGATGGCGAAAATGGAATCGGAGTTTTTGAGCTCATGATCAAGAAATTGAAGGTAATAAGAGTACTAGAGAGATAAATTAAAAGAAAAGGGTTCTTTTTGTATATTTGATCTCTCACTAATACAAAGAAAGGAAAATTGGAGTTACCAAGAAGGAGTTAGCTTAGTTTCAAACCTCAGCATTTCTGATCTCCTAGTTGAACAGTTGATCAGAGCGTTTACTGTGGTTTTGAATCTCCCGATCGTAAACAGGTGTTGGGAACAGTTGCATGCATGGTTGTCTCCATCAGGGCGTTCACCATTGCATTCAATTATACGATGTCGACGATCCTTCACCCTGTTTCCTTTCTTGAAAGTTGCATTCTACAGGTCTCATTTAATTTACTGATCTCTTCACAAGAAAAAAAGATAGATAGGGCCGACGCTTGGGTAGCTGCAGTGCAACGTGCGGATGCTGCAATTCTGTGAAAATGGAGGATCCCAGTTTTGTCTTGCAGTAGTTAAATCTCCATGACCTGTCTTTTCTTACCACAGTTTTTTTTTTCTTTCGGTTTTTGTTTTCACATGGATCAGAACCCGAAACATCACTGTGATTTTAACTAATTACATCAGAGTCTAACGTCAAGTTGGGGCCGGATGGAAGAGGGGATGATGATACTGTTCGTCCCTGCATATACATACTGTTGCAATTCAATGCTTCACTGACGACCATGCCAGCCCATGCAGAAGCCGACGCCACACGTCACAGACTATGTATATATTCTTTCTCCTAGCGTCACCCGGCCGAAACTTGTAAGCATTGTTATAACAACAGAACCGGATCAATCGTTGGGCAAGTAGAACCGTCAAACCAGTTAACATAGCAGTTTGGTTCATTTTTTGAAAGACTATTGATGGACCAAACGAATTTTCATGGTTCAATTTTTAAACTTGATAAACCACCATGGTTTAAATGGTCCACTGGTTCACTATTTTAACCGCAATTAAAAAAATATTTAAGTGTAAACTAAGATCATTAAATCAAAATTATTAATTTTATTTATGTTTCCTCTTCTCATTTTTCAACCTTGTTGTTGACTTTACGTGTCCACTACCGACTGGCTTCATAATTTTAATTTGTATTAAAAAAATTAGGCAAAATACACTTTCATAGCCACAACTTTCACCTTTGTAACAAATATAGCCACAACTTTCGGAAAACAAAAAATAGTCAGACTTTGAAGGTTGTTTGACAAATCTAGCCATTTCCGTTACAAACTTTAACGGTGTTAGATATTCGGTAAATTACGTTAAAGACACGCTGACTAGGATACCAAATTGACGAACACATCAGCGACAACTTAGCCTCACTTGCCACGTAGGTGTCACATCATAATTTACTTAATTTTTTGGTTTAATACACTTGTATATCCAAAACTTTCACGGTTGTGCCAATAATATCCAAATTTCCCGGAATACCACTTATATCCATGTTTTAAAGTTGTTCTTTGCCAAATCTATCCATTTCCCAATATATTTTTGGTTAAATACAGTTGTATATCCAAAAACACCGTTAAAGAATGTGAAGGAATTGGATATAAGTGGTATTTCGGGAAATTTGGATATTATTGGCACAACCGTGAAAGTTTTGGATATACAAGTGTATTTAACCTAATTTATTTTAACAAACCCCTTTCTTCTCCCCTTACAACGATCTCGCCCACTTCAAGACCCTCCGCTCCATCCATGGCCACCGCCGCGGTCACCGCCACCTCTGAATCTCCCGCGTCGCCACCATAAGCACTACCCCAAAAATTGCCTTCCTCTTCCTCACAAATTCCAATCTCACCATCGTCATTTCTGGAGCCGCTTCCCCCGTGGCCAGGCCCATCTCCACAATACCTCCCCACCTTCCAGATCCTTCCCCCAAAATTGCCTTCCTCTTCCTCACAAATTCCAATCTCACCATCGTCATTTCTGGAGCCGCTTCCCCCGTGGCCAGGCCCATCTCCACAATACCTCCCCACCTTCCAGATCCTTCCCCCCTTCGAGTCGCACCTCATCCCCACCAAGAGGACCGAGATGGCGTTTTCTTTTCCAATCGCCATAGAGTGGCGGCTCCTCACACTCGTAGCCTCGCCAGCGGAGCTTTATCAAGATCCTCTCCGGCGATCCCAACCTCCCCGAGTGGTACGCCGCCCTGCTGCTTCCTCACTGGGGGACTTCTTGGCACCGATGAAGGAGACTACAAGCCTTCGCAAGAGAGGAACAAATTGATCTCGCTTTTCCTGGCGCGAATTGGCTTTAGAGTTGGAGGATATCTATGCTTTGTCTGGTGCGAATCCTCTTCAGATTTGGAGATATGTGCTTTCTCTGGCGTGAATCGTTTTCTGATTTGGAGGCAATGGGCATGGCAAGAGTCGATCTGGTCATGGAGTGAATTGGTGAAGGTGGTGGTGGATTGTGATATTTGAGATGAAGGGCAGAGAAGTGAAGTAGGGATTGGGGGTCGGCAGTAAAGGCGGAAGAAGGTGGAGGTGGGGAGAGATTTTTTTTATGATTTCATTTAAAGTAATTGATTTTTATTTCTTACTTTTCTTTTTATTAATCCATGTGGATTGGTGGGGACAGTAAATTGTCAACTCGATATTTTCCGTCAGTCTGGTCACACCGTTAACTCATACCGTTAAAGGGATGGATGGCTATTTTGGACTTTCAGATAGTTATGGCTATATTTGTCACAAACGTGAAAGTTATGGCTATATAGGTGTATTTTTTCAAAAAATCATGATTTCTTTTGTTAAAGGGTTTGAATTATTTGTTAGATAATTCGATGATGATATGAATTTGAAATTGTTTATGGTAAATGATAACTTCATCCTTAAATTAGTGTATTATACAAGTTTTGTATGTTATATATTATGAATATTAACGATAACTAATGATTTTGTAATATTTAACCACTAACTTTTCCAATTCAGTGTCCGATCCGGTTCTGAAAAGAGATTTCAAGATATGCTCGGGTACTAGCATATCGATTGGATGGTCGGAAAATAGCCACAGGTACAAATAGTTAATCCTAATACTACTATGTCGAGGCTTTCTATTAGAATATGCTTCACTATGAATCCACAATATCGAGCATTTAGCTTTTTTCAGCCATTCAATCAACACACACCATCTAGCATGACCTCACTCTATTTTCAATTTCTTATCTTTTAAATAGCTCATATATCTTTTATTTCACTCTAACTTTAGAAATTTTGGTTTTTTCCTAAAATACTAAGCTTAAAAAAATTCTCATTGTCATTTTCAAGTGTTGTGTGTAACGAAAAATTAAGCCAATCATTTGTTGCTAAAAAAAATTTGATCTCGAAATTTTAAAAAATTCTATCGAAAAATTTGTTTTTAAAAATAATGACGAACTATACAAAAATTATATGAACAAATTAGATAAAAATGATAATAAGTTTATTTTTATGTAAAGAGAAACTAGAAAAAGGAAGGTCCCCAAATTTGTAAATGTTAATATTAAAACAAAAATGTTGAAAATTGGGATAATCACGAATTTGGGGACTAGTATTGGAGATGACCTTGCACAATAAAATTTCAAAATGCATAAGTTTTGTCTATGTGCGTTCATGCATTTCAATCAAATTAAGTTTACACGAGTGACAGAATGTTAATGTAGAAATATAAAACTTAATGTACTACTTTCTAATTAGTCAGCCGCCTTAGTAGTATATATTTGTAGCTTGTACGGACAAAAACCCTAACGAGAATAATACGTTTGCCTTGGAGAGTTCTACCTCTCCCGTGGACTAGTTCTGATACTCAGGGAAACCACGTTAAATCCTTGTGTTCTTTACGTTTTAGTTCACAATAGAACGTAAGCACCGTCATGTGCTCGAGCTTACTCGTGCAATTTTGTTTCATTCCCGGGTCCCTAATCGCTTCTGGATGGAGGCTGTGCACACCACTTTGTATTTGATTAACCGTCAAATCACACAGGTTTTAGATCAACGCTCCCCATTTCAAGTTTTGTTTGGTACTCTTCCTGACTATTAAGCTCTCCGTGTTTTTGGCTCGGTCTGTTTTGTGTTGATGCCTCGTAAAGAAAGACCGAAGCAGTCACCTAAGACTGCTTGGTGCATTTTCTGGGGTATCGTGTTTCTGGAACATGTTATGTACTTTGCTTATGCAAAAGATGAGACAGCCGAAAGCTTGTCCCTTGACTTCCTTACGTCACTGCCCATTTTTGACACTCTTATTGTGAAATCATCCATGCAACGACGTCCCATGAGGCGAGCATGGGCGAGACTTCCTTTATGTCACCCTTGATCAATCACCAATCTAGTAGTTCTTCCGCAGGGTCTTCTTCGACTAGCAACAATAGCTCTTCCGTGGTATCTTTCTCTGATAGCAATAGCTCCTCCTCGTCTATTGTTGGGTCTTATTATGCTAGCTACAACTCTCACACTAATACGAGCTCGGATGACTCGTCGCCGACACCTTCTCCTCTGCAGGCAATGGTGCCCTTGCGCAGGTCTGCTCGAGCTAATTTGGGACAGCCACCTCCTCGGATGCTTGATTATGTGGGATATAGTGCTGAACCTATTGTGATTCCTAGGATCTATGCTGAAGCTAAGGGCGATCCACGATGGGAAGGGGCCATGACAGAGGAAACTAATGTGCTTGATGCGAATCATACGTGGGATCTTGTCCCTCGGACACTTGACATGCAAGTTATTGATAGTCGATGGGTCTATACAGTGAAGATGCATTCTGACGGCACTCTGGAAAGATTTAAGGCACTAGTCGTGGCTCCGAGATTCAAACAATAATATGGTATAGATTATGATGAGACTTTTGCTCCAGTGGTTAAGATGCAAACGATCCAATGTATTTTTGCAGTTGCAGCAATGAAAGGGTGGATGTTATTTCAGTTTGATGTGAAAAATGCGTTCCTTCATGGTGATCTACAAGAAACTATATATGGAGCGTCCTCCAGGTTATGGGAAGGGAGATTCGAGCATGGTCTGTAAGCTGGTCCGGTCGTTATATGGACTTAAACAGGCACCACGTGCGTGGTTTGAGAAATTTCACAGTACTATTGTTCAAGATTTCACACATCGTTATAATGATCCATCCTTGTTCTTGCGCAATACCGTAGATGGAGTGGTGATTTTGCTTATATATGTGGACGACATGATCATTACGGGCATTGATACCCAAGGCATCAACGGGTTGAAGTCTTCACTTCATCGTTCCTTTAATTTGAAGGACCTCCGTGTGGTGGAATATTTTCTTGGGCTCCAAGTTCAACGCTCGGAACAGGGTCTCTTGGTTTTTCAGAAAAAGTACATTGCAGATTTGCTCGAGACACCCTAGTTCAGCAACTGAATTCCATGTTCGACACCCATGGAACAGAACCTGAAGTTACAACAGGAGAGTGTTGAGTTACTTGAGGATCAGTCTACTTATCGCAACCTAGTGGGAAGTCTGATTTATTTAACACACACTTGTCCAGATATCTCTTACGCTATTCAGGTGGTAAGTCAATTTATGGGAATGGCACGGACAATGCATATGGATGTTGTACACAGGCTGTTACGCTATCTCAAGCAAACAAATGATGTCGACATGTTTTTTCCCATCTAAAGGTGAACCGGTTGTGGAAGCTTTTGCAGATGCCGACTTTGCAGGCTGTAAAGATACTCGACGGTCAACGTCCGGATGGTGTATTTGAGTAGGACAGTCGTTTGTTTCTTGGAGGTGTCGCAAACAAGATCGGGTGTCTAAATCTTCTACAGAAGCAGAATGTCGATCTATGTCTGAGGTGAGTTCTGAGATGGAATGGATATACCGTTTGCTTGGTGAGTTGGGAATGTCATGTCGGCTACCTATGAGGACTTACGACGATAATACGAGTGCTATACAGATCGCCATAAATCTAGTGGTACACGATCGGACTAAGCATATCAAGGTTCATGTCCATTACATTCGACAGCCGATTGCAGAGGGTACAGTACAGGTTGGGTACTTATCTACAAAGGATCAGACTACAGATATTCTGACTAAGACACTGGCTTCGAGTAGACATTGGTTTCTCTCATCCAAATTGATGTTACGCACCTGACATCAATTTGAGGGAGAGTGTTAAAATATGAAACTTAATGTACTACTTTGTAATTAGTAAGCCGCCTTAGTAGTATATATTTGTAGCTGTATGTACAGGAACCCTAACGAGAATAATAGGTTTTCCTTGGAGAGTTTTACCACTCCCGTGGACTAGTCCTGATACTCAGGGAAACTACGTTAAATCCTTGTGTTCTTTACTTTTTAGTATGTTCAATTGACAGTTAAGAGTCTAAAATCTAAGAACTTGTAATTAAATCATCCTCACATCTCTATCACATATATGGATTCCTCTTAAAACAAATGATTGTAAGAAATGGGAACTAGATGCTAGTAAGCTCTATTATCATGGTTACAAAAAAGAGACAAGCTAAAACAACCAACCAGGAATACTGATCATATATATAATCAATTTGAGTGAAAGCTTACTTTGAGTTATGTTGTTGATTATTAGGATCTCATAGGATTTTTCGTTTATTTCATGATTGATAATCATTAGCTTCAAGGATTGTATGATCAGATAGTATCTTTTAATACTCATCTTGATTCGGGCCTAATTGTAAATTTTTTATCCCCGATTCCCTTTGACGTTTGTTGCAATTGAACTCCAAAAATGTTGGTTTTACGCGAGGTTGCTTGTGTTTCAGTGTGTTTTGGATCCTAACAGGTAAAACCAAACCCGGAGTTGAAAGTTGGAAGAAAAGGAGCAAAGACCTGGCAAAGAGGTGGAGACAGCCAATGTTCACGGCCTGACGTTGGAGTTCACGGTCTTACAGGACCGTGAACTGGGGTGATAACCCATGAACCAAAGAGTGTCCAGAAAGGGTTTTCGGGTTACTGACACCCAGGCTGTTCACAGTCGATAAGACCGTGAACAGAGGCCATTGACCGTGAACCCGAGCCAATGAAGCGATGCGTTTTGGTCTCAGCACTAGGTTCACGGACGCAATTCAATTGTCACGACCATGAACTGGGCGCGATCTTAACTTAAAAGGACAGCTGAAAGGAAGAAGAGGGGAGAGACCTAGTGTGAGAAACTTCTCCTTCTTTAGATTTTAGAGTGAAATTGATGAACCAAAGCTAGGGTTTCATTTCCAAGCAAGGTTTTGGGAATTCCTCCCCCAAAGAAGGAATTCTTCAGCACAAGGAGCAAGGCTTGCATCTTCTTGATGGTTTCCCTTTCCCTCTCTTGTGTTTTCCATTCTCCTAGCATGGAGTAGTCCCTTCTTTCACATGGGTGTTTGTAAACCCTAGCTACAATTATGTGAATTCTTGTATGAATTGAATGATTTGTTTGTGCTTGTTTTTTTAATGTGAATGTGGAGGTATTATTCAGAAATGATTGTGTTGTGTAAAAGCCTATCAATCTAATTGTAATTCTAACCTATCTTAGAGAGGAGACCTCCTTAGGTTAAGAGGCTCAATTTGAGATGGGTTTTCTTGGGCATATCCCACCGTAATTTGAGATGGTGTTCTTTGTAAACCCTTGATTGATATTGAAACAATGTCGTGAATTCGCTTGACCATATCCCAGTGTTGCTTGATATCCTCATAGTCGGGCAAGGCAAGAGTAACACTGCGGCACTAAGGAGACGACATTGTTTAGTTAAAAACAATGCTGCAAGAATTTAACAATGTCGCGAGAAATCAATCCCCAACGGTACCGCTGTACTAAAAACGACAGTGTTCAATATAAAACAATGTTGCGGAGTAAAAAGCGAACATAGTTGTTTGGAGGATAAAAACGGCACCGCGAATAAACCCAACGACACCGCGGATTAGAAAATGATACCGCGAGAGGCCTTGGTAAGCGATGTTGTTTAGTTAAAAACTATACCACATCGGGTTGGAGTTTGGCAAGGGCAGCCCGGCAAGCCCAACGACACCATAAGAAGAGAAACACCGTACCATTTGGTAGAGAACAATGTCGCGGAATAAAAAATGACATTGTTTGTTGGGACCGGGACGGAGCAGTTCAAGGTCGGCATCAATTAGTGAAAAGCGATGTCGCGGAAAGATTAAACGGCGTCGAGGGATGAGAATTTGACCGCGACACAATAATGAGCCGGTTTAATTAATTAATCTTTTTAATGATTATTTTAGACGGTGTTGTTTAGATAAAAACGACAAAGCGGGAGGTATCAATGACACCGCAGTATCATAAAACAATATCGTTTGATTAAAACAATATCGTTTGATTAAAACGATATCGTTTTATGATACTGCGGTGTCATTGATACCTCCCGCTTTGTCGTTTTTATCTAAACAACACTGTCTAAAATAATCTTTTTAAAACGATATCGCAGTGGTTAAGAGCTCGACCAAGGGTAGCCAGCTAAGTCCAACGCCACTGTTGTCCCAAAGCAACATCGTCATTGTAGCTTTGTTCCACGTGAGATTCATGCGGAATCAAAATCGAGGCAGTTGAGACACGTGGGAGTTCACGACGAAGCAGTTGAGGAAGCGGTTTCATGGAGCGTGAAGGCTACGAAGATGTTTTTCGAATAAGAGCTGCAAAGAAAGGAGAGAGAGGGACGACAACCAAAATCAAACACAGAACAAATTTGTTCCAGACATTATCCTTTTTCTCTGTAACTCCCTCGCAGAGCTCTCCTTCTAGGAAGGATCTCCAAAGTTGTAGTCGTAGCGTAGTCGCGGAGCTCTCCACAGGAATCTCCATAGGAGTAGTCGTAACGTAGATTCCCAGAAACTCAAACACCCTCGTTCGAACGTAGTTTGGAGAGGTGTGAACCGTAGTAATAGTCGCGTTGGTCAGAAGTCAGAGGTGCATCGATCAGATCAACATCACCCAGCGGTGGATATTTTACGGCCACGTTGATTTCACCATTCAGAGGTGAATCGATCAAATCAACATCGCCCGACGCCCGGCGGTGGATATTTGACGGTCATGTTGATTTCAACATTCAGTGGTGCGTCCGATCAAACGACACCGCAAGAGTTTCATCCGCAAAACAACAAATCAACATCGTCATTTGGCACGCCGGCGGTGGATATTTGGTTTCACAAAGGAAACAATTTGGCACACCCGGTGGGACACGTGTGTTGGATGTGAATACAGCTCCGCGTCGAGGAAAACATGATCGTGATCTTCCACACGTACCTGTGAAGGAGGAGACGCTCGACATTGAAGTTGGTCAGGCGAACAAGGCAGATAGACGTACTCAAGGGATGGAGGAGCTGCTACATGCTGAAATCATGTATCTACGTCGGAGGAGTTTCTCCAATCCAAGGAGGAGTTTCGCCAATCCATGAAGGAGTTTCACCAAGAGGTGAATCTCCAATTTGATAATCTTGAAAAGAAAATGGATAAATTTGAAAAAGACATAGATCGATGGTGTGATAAGTTGGATAATTGTTTTTCTAATTTTAATATTTCAATATGTAAAGCCACGTATGATTTGAAAATCAATCACGTGTGAGTAGCGAGCAAGTGTGTTATCCGCCAATTTCTGTGGATCGATCGCTTTTGCAGCGTCGTGACCAAAGTAATGGTCAATCCAACGTTACTCATATCAATATTGAACAATCCAACTTTCAATGTATGGCTGGTAGTGAATTTATGGGAGCCAACCGTGAACTAATCAATAGTGGTGGACCTGATAGTGTCAATCAAACTATATCTCCGATTATGGCTACAACAGTGTGCAAGAAGCGAGCAAACCCAACGTGTCTTTTCTGATGAACAATATTGTTCTTAAGGACACACAAGTTGGAGGTGGCTTTCAGATGCCACTACAAAGAGGTCAGTATCAACGTATTTCTAATAATAATGAAAATAAGAA